ATTCCTCCTTATATACCCAAAGGACTTAAAATCAGCATACTGTAGAGAAACTGCCATATCAATTTATATAATAGCTCAATTCACAGTAGCTAAACTATATTGTACTAGCCTAAGTGTTCTTTAAGAGATGAATGGATAATAGATATGTTGTATGTATATAAAGTAATATTACTCGGGCATAAAGAGAAAATGAAGTTATTGCTTTTGCCAGTATATGCATGGAACTGGATACTATTATACTAAGTGAAATAAACCAATGACCAAAGGCCAAATGTTCTGATATGAGGATGCAAACTGAAAAGAGGGGGGGGGAGTAGAGAAGAGTAGAAGTACTTTTTATTATTTGCAAAGGGGAATGGAGGCTGGGAAACGGGAATAGGAAAGATGATAAAATGAATCAGACACTACTTTCCTATGTTCATATAGGAATACATGAYCAGTAGAATTCCTCATCATGTACAACCACAATGGAATATTGTATTCCCTGTATGTATAATGTGTCACAATACATTGTTATGTATGACTAAAAACAATAACAAAAAGAATGGAGTACTGATGTATGGTAGAATATGGATGGAGCTAAAAAATACTAAAGAAATAAGAAAAGAATACATTGTAAGGTTGAATTTATATGAACTGTATAGAGTGGGTGAATCAAAGTAGATTAGAGGAAGGACAACTRTTAAATGGTATAGTCTTTCTGTTTAGTATAATAAAAATGTTTTCAGTTGATTGTGGTGACAGTTACATAASTGCATAGTAAAAACGAATTGTGGAATAATAGACTTTAAATGGTTCGTATGGCATAAAAGTTTTATCAGTAATTACAATAAAAATCTCAGCATTATAATAAAATTAAGTTTATATTTATTTATATATTCCTGTGCTTGTTTATATCATTTAGTCCATTTATGTTTCAGATAAAGAGCTTGCAGTTTAGTTCTAACGAAAYTCCACCCAATGTAGCATGTTTTTTATGCTTAATTACTTGTGAATAAACTTTAGGAATACTCTATAAACTAGAAATTATAAAAATCTAKCGGGTTGGGTGGTTTTTTAATGATCTATTATGAAAAGTTGGGTTTGTGTCATCTTGACAATTGTGTTTGCATTTTGTTGTTAACCTGTTTGTTGTTTAGCCCATCTTTTAAGGCAAAATCAAAAGCCCTACTCACTTTGAGAAATAAAGAAATATCATCTTGTACATTAATGACAACATCAAAGTTATTTGGTTTCAGAAATGTAATTTTAGTGACTTAGTATAGTGTGGTGCTTGATTGTAGGATGCCCAATATTTTGGTATAAGATTGCGTGGTATTTTTATATAAACTATATATGATGCTAGGGTAGAACTCAAAAGATCTTTTAGAGAACAACAAAGTATGTTAGGTGAAGTTAAATTTTTCCTGATTCCATTCCATAATTCTTTGAATTTACAGTCTTTTGAGGAGATGTGTGTTTTATCGAATTGTGTGCAGTTGTATTGAAAAATTATTTGGAAATTTGTTGTTTCAATTATTCATGTTAGTGTTTTCTCTTTCTTTCTTCCTTCCTTTTTTTTTTTCTTTAATGTTTGGGAATGAGATATCCAGGCAATGATGATGATTACCATAGGCCTCAACCGTTTTTAGATTGACTTGGACCATGTTTCAGGAGGCCTATGATTTAAACACTAGTAATTTTCAAGAAAAAGACATACAAACATCTAAATAAGCACTCTAAAATATCATAGACRAGGAATTAGTAATAGGATGAATAGATTGTCATAAGTTGGAGTTTATTGGCAGGAGCCAGAGTCACAGCTGCAGAGTTAGGTGCCTGTCATCAATTGGTAGTTCATTTATCAAGTAGTTTGTGCAGCTATTTTGAAGAAACCTGTTCCTGGGCTCTTAATCAAAGTCACCCATCCTCTCTTAGAGTTACTGGGATTATAGGCATGTGCCACTATGCCCAAATTCTTTATTATTCAATCTGTGATTTTTAAAATTTTTTWAATTTATTTTTTATGAGTTAAGTATATTCAAAGATTTTTAGCAACACCGTGCAAATGAGTTCTTCCTAAGACTTCCTAAGACTGGACATATGGCTCATAAAATCTCTTCCTTTTTCATGAAAAATCAAAAGTAAATGGGAAGAAATTTGATTTAGAAAATTTTCTATTAAGATTAAAAATAAAGGAGGTGAGAAAACCTCCTAATGTTGAGATTAGAATTCAGTTGTATATGTATACTGAATTTGATAAAAACCAGTGTTGTACTCTTTGGGAACTAATTGTAAAATAAATGATATTTGAAAATATAAATAAGCAATTGGAGCTACTTTTGAAACTAAGAAATGCTGATATCTGTTGTTTATGTTGTGTATATCTGCTAATTTAATTACAGATTAACAATATTTGGGAGTTAAATGTGTCTGTAGAATTTTCTGTTATTTATGTAGCTTTTGTATCAAACTAGAAATGCTTCAAAGTATGTAAGATGTTCACATAATTCAGGTAGTAATAAAATGAACTCCCATTTTTTCAGTTTTGTATACAGAGGGTTTTTAATATTTATTATTTAGCTATATATGGACACAATATCTTTATTTTTATGTGGTGCTGAGGATAGAACCCGGTGCCACACGGTAGGCGAGAGCTCTACCTCTGAGCCACAACCCCAGCCCCTACAGAGGGGTTTTGGAGCATTTTTACMTGTTAAATGCTGAAGGAACTATGTTGTTCTGAACAGTGATACTGAAATGAACATGCCTAAAACATTATTTGTAATGAAAAGAAACAGGTGTGGTAATTAAGAAAACATTCTGGAGGGTACAGATTATTGTCATTTTTTTTGTTCCTGGGGATTGAACTCGGGTGCTTATCCACTACATCATATCCTGAGCCTTTTCAATTTTGAGACAAGAGTTTGCTAAATTGCTGAGGGTCTTAGTAAGTTGCTAACACTGGCCTGGAACTATAAATTCTCTTACCTCAGCCTCTTTTGAGTTATGGGAATTTCAGGCAAGGGCAACTGCGACCTATAGATTCTAGTTTTCCTACTACTTTGGTTTAATGAATGAAATTTGTTAATAACCAAGGAGATTTTGGTGACCCAGGGATTTGGAGTCTATATTGGATATATTGCATTATAAATATTTAATTTTTTTTTTTAAGAGGGAGAGAGAGAGAGAACTTTAATATTTATTTTTCAGTATTTGGCGGACACAGCATCTCTGTCTGTATGTGGTGCTGAGGATCGAATTTTTAATTTCTTTCAAAATGTCTTAATTTGTAAACATTTTTCTTATTTTGCCTTTCTTTTTTTAATTACTGCTCAAGTGTCCATATTTCAGATTAGGTTAAATCATCATTCTCCTAGGGTTTAGTGATTGTAGCTTTTGTACAAGCATGTGCGAAACGAGTGTTTTGCTGTCACTGAATTACAGCCTATTCCTTTTTTAGTTTTTATTTTTTATGTCTTAGTAAGTTGTTTGTGCTAGCCTTACATGCCTCAGTAGTTTTAACTCTAGGCATATACTTGCTGAAATTGATGTTTTCACTTTACCTAAGATGGAAACTACATTAGTACTCAGCCACTGTCATATATAGAAATGTAAGAGGGACATGTGGACTTACAGATGATTTGTAAAAGATGAAATTGTTAAATATATATCACCTTTGTTCTTTAAAACCTTTGGAGTTAAGCAAACCAACTGGATGGTAGTGGTGGCTGGTTTTTTCTTATTTGTCTTGTGTTATTGTTTTGTTAACTGTTTTAAACTCCTAGTGAGCTACCTCCCYATTTCTTTTTTTATTTTGACAGGTTCTGTGTAACAGTTTGTTGAAGTTTTTCTTTAGGAATGTTAAAGAGTCAGTTTTTAATTCATTTTGGAATGTTCCTAATTRTGGCATACTAAATCTATTAATGGGATGTTAAATTAGATTAATAGATAATCTATCCATTTTTTTATTGATTGGTAAATATATTCCATGAAATGAATATAGGCAGTGGTGAACAAGGCAGGCTGACAGTATTACTCATCTGCCTTGTAGTTTTTTCTTTTGTGGTTGGGTCAGGCTATACCAGGGTTGAACCCAGAACCTTGCATGTGTGAGGTCTCTACTGCTGATACATGCCCCTGCTTCTGTTTCTAAAATTGTTATTTTGAATCAATCTCACAAGGAGAGTTGCCTATGCTGGCCTGAAGTCTTCCTGCCCCAGCCATCCGATAAATTGGTATTTTAGGCATGTTCTACCATATCTGCCTCCTTGATTGGAACTATGAATGTAGTTAGATTACCATAAATGTAGTTAGAAAATTGAACGTGGCATATTCATGTCAGATGTTTAATATTAGTGGTATTTGTGCACAGGTAAAGCATTTTATGGGGAAACAGCTGTGGGGTTTTATAGGTCAGAAATTACATTAGTGAGASGCATGTGTGGTTGTGCATGCCTCTAATACCAGTGACTCAGTAGGCTGAGGCAGGAGGATCTCTTAAAGCCAGCTCCAGCAAATTGGAGAGGCCCTAAGGCACTTAGCCAGACACTGTTTGAAAATAAAAGGCTGTGAAGGTATTGCTTAGTCGTTAAGCGCCTCTGAGTTCAATACCTCTGTTTGAACCATTTGGTTTTAATCCCTTTTTGTGAGTACCGTATTTGTTTTATGTGARCTATCTATGAAATGTAAGTCTGTTTTTATTTCCAGGACTTAAAAGCCAGTCAACCACATCATGACACATCCATGTAATGGTTTCTTGAAACATTGAAGTGTTAAAAAAATATACGAAATAATTGAGGTTTTAAGTTAATTTTAAGTGTGAAAGAATTGTTTCTTTTATCCAATAGGATGTATAGTTACCCAGCACGAGTTCCTCCTCCTCCTCCTATTGCTAGGGCTGTAGTGCCCTCTAAACGCCAGCGTGTTTCAGGAAACACCTCCCGAAGGGGCAAAAGTGGCTTCAATTCTAAGAGTGGACAG